CCCCCCGACCCCACCCCAGCCCCTGATCATTCGTGTGCTCCCCCTATAGCTGTGCCATCCATTCCAGTGGGATCATCTGAAAAATATAATAACGATGATTCCGAGGGTGTGTCGCAGTTTTTCGCTGCTCTGCTGGGGGAAAAAAAAAAATCACTCTTAGCATACCGCATGGACTAATTGCTCAGGATATTCTTTTGAAGAACAAAATGTCTTTGCTAACTTTGTGGCAAGTGAGGTAAAATAATCACATTTGCCCCGCTTTAGCAGTGGCGGTTCAATTAAATAACTCCGTCATCCACAAAGCTGCGTTTGGCAATTTACTTTTCTCGATACAAGCATTATAATCCAAATGATCTTTTTATGACATCGGATGCTTGAAATGATGAGCCATCCTTTTATTTTCTCTCATCTTGGTGATGTCCAGTGGGCGTGTTGCCAGTTCAATCTTTGTGTGCAGTCGGCCAAAACACAACCGAGTTGCAGGCCCCGCGTTTCGGAAAGAGACAAGAAGAGCACAACGAGAACAGTGGGCGGCCTTGTCGCGACGCTCAAGAAGTCGCGTGTTAAACACTCACTCATAAAAACGACTTGAGCGGCGTATGGAACTTGACGCGACGAAACGCGCTCGGGGAAATTCAGGGCGGCGGCGTCAATGAAGAACTAAAACAGTCGCATTCCATTTCGCACCTCCGGTCACGTGACTAAATCCACGAGGGCTTTGCAGCGCAGGGGTCAAAGTCGACTGGCTTCCTATCGATTTGCCCGACACTCGCATCTTTTCGAACGTATCTTTCCGTGACGACTTAAAAAGAAAACAATTCATGCAAACGGTACCCAATTTCGAGTGCGTACAATGTGTGCTTTCCCTACTGCGTAGAATCGAGGCTTGCCGCAACGGGGGAAAGTGGAACGGTGTTTCCAGAGGGCAGAAAAGCAAAGGCTGCATCTGCTGCGCACCGACAGGTGCGATCCTCCTCCTCCTCCTCCTCCTCCTTCGATCTTGAACAGACACTTTAATGACGACTTTGGCGAGCTTTCGCCCGCGGCTCTGTGGCTTGTCAGCGGTGACAGACATTTTGGGAAAGACTCCCTCTAAAGCGCCACGCCGCCTTTGTTAAGGTGACAGAGTTGTGCACGGCCAAATGTATTCCAATCTAAAAATAACATTGCATGAAATGTGATTTCACCGCTCCATCTCTTCGACTGTTTTTCTCTAATACCTGTGAAGGAATATTTCAAATCAGATGATTTCTTTTTAAAAGTAGGCATGAAAGTCTATCGCTGACAATTTGCATTTGGGCTGGAAGGGATCACAGTCGAAACGCTGCTTGAAAGAGCCTTTGAACACAATAATGATGTGGCATTTTGACCGTTGACTCATATATTTAAAAAATAAATAAATAAAATGCATTGGCCATAAGGCTAATCTGAATTGCTTTGGAATTTTGGCAAAGACTCCCCACCCCCTCCAAAAAAAAAAAAAAAAAAAAACGCAGTATGTCCACCACGTGTTTCTGCAAATGACACTCAGAATGGTAGAAAATTGTCAAGTTCAAACATAATATCAGTTCAATTTCCTATTTGCTTACCTTGATGACACCCAGGATGAAGGTTCTAGAAAAAAAAAAAAAAAGCTGCCTACGCTATAAAGCAGGAGCGGGCTTTCCGAAATAATCTTATTAGCGGCCTGACACGACATTATCCGCAAAGCGATTCAATTGTCCCTCCTGTCCGTCAAATTGTATCTGATCATCTGGTCAATAAAGTCACATTATGAGATGGAGATGTGGACATTAAGATGGTATGTGGATGCGCAGCCTGAGGACAACACACACACATACACACACACACAACCTCATCAAATTAATGAGTCTGATCGCCTTGAGCAATGAAGATGATCCATAAAGCAATTTTTTTTCTTGTATGAAAATTGCAAATCAACAGGCATGTATGCTCCACTGCAGGGCTGCTTTTCAGCCACAATTTTACCGACTTGATGATTCGAATCCGTATTTTTCCCATCGATGGCGCAACAGAAGAAAAATCATCCAAATTTACTTCATGTCGCAACTAGAAATTGCAGTCACTTTTTTTTTTCATGACATTTCATCCCGGAGTATTTGTCCAGTTTAATCAAGCCAAGTGCCCCGATTGATGACGTGTCATAAAGCGGTCTCTTATTTTACTGCCATTAAGTGGCGAATCCTGCAATTTCTGACATCATATGAAATCCTCTCGGCAATCACCATCTAATGCACACGTTCTGTATCCATGTCCTGATTTACACGTGTGCTAATGGGAAGTAAAAAACCTCCTCTTAAAGGGGAACACCAGATAAGTGAGATGTCTCCATGATGTGGGAGAGACCAATCAATATGTGCTGCATGGCCACCATCCCTCCACCCTGTCATTCCCTTTTGGAACAGGTCCAAAGAAAAGAAGAAAGAAGTGGACCCATGATGTCATCCACATGTAAACTCTGCTACCACGGATATTAATTGCAAATGGGCTTCATGGGAGCATTTTGTCAGCCGAAAGGTTCCACTCCAACCTGGACGGCTGCGGAAGTGCATATATTAGGTGGAATACAGATAAATAGCTATCAGGCTAGATGTGATTAAATAGCCTTCATTTTTCTTGACCAATTGTGTTAGCATGTGTGAGACAGTCAATTTTTACTCTTGACAAATGCTTCCCTTTTCCCTTTACGCCCCCCAACCCCCACCCTCTCACCCCCCCACGCTGTTCCTTTAAAAGCATTTTTCACCAACCGCATTCACATGATGCATTTACAAAAATGCAGATAGCAGCAGTTCTTAATTACTCTCTCGTCATAAAAGCACTCACGGTGTACACGGTTGCAATTTTGGCATTAACTCTACGGTAGCCACATTTCCTAATTCTTTTCAAATGATTTTTTTTTAACACTTTGCCAGATCCAAAATAGATATTGCGGGCATTAACTCTACGGTAGCCACATTTCCTAATTCTCTTCAAATGATTTTTTTTGACACTTTGCCAGATCCAAAACAGATATTGCATAATGTGCTTTGTGAACAAATATAGATAGATAGATGGATGTCACTTTCACAAACACAACTTCATGAATGGATTTAATGAACAGGGAAGCGGTGTTCTCGTCCCTGTTTTTTTAAATTAACATATCCATTCATTACTTCACTCATAGTTGCAATCACGTGCATATACTGTGTTTTCCTAATTCCTTTCGAATAACATACCGCACACTGCATGGGAAGCAAACATTTCCCCGAAATGTGATTATTTTTCAAATGTATCTAAAGGTGCTTACCGTGGGAGAAAACCTGAAGCAGGAGTCCGATGAACATCATCCTGTGCGCCGACATGGGATACTTTTGAAGAGGAAGACTGTCAAGCGTCTGCTGCTTCCACATGCGAGCCTCCCGTCCTGTGAAGATGACGATGACGACGCGTCCCGTACGCGCACTCGCTTGATCGGACGGCCAGGTAAGAGATGCACAAAAGTTGACCAACAGCAACACCGCGAGCGCGACCGAGCGAGTAGCGACGTAGCGTGCGCGCTACTGGTGGCGGCGCGCAAGTTCTCGCGATCTTTGCTGCTCCATCCGCGTCTCTTACGTCCACGCTTTGATTGATGGAAATGTCCAAAAGAGGTCCCTGTGCTCCGCTCGCAAGTTCTCATATGTGTGGCTCCACAGTTGTCCGCTCGCCGAAGTGGGACGAGGCAAAGCTCGCGTCTCCTGTTATTATAGGGGTCACGTGATTGGCCCCTGGAAAAGGAGGAATAATCCCAAGAGTTGCCGCGAATGTTTCCCGGGGGGGAACAGCTGTGCGTGCGGACATGGCAAGATGGACAGCTGGGGATGCTCAATGTCAGCGAAGTGGAGAGTAGATCTGAAAGACATATTTACCTTCTGGTTTTACAATTATACAACTAGAAATGCTTGGGTTGAAGACAGGCTTAGTGAGTCACAATATAATATAATATGGAATCAATCGCTGAAAAACTAACCTACTCGCTGATTTTGCGCTCAGGTTAAAGCCGTGTCTGATTCAAGTATTGCTTTGGTGTCATCTCGCGCCAAGGAACTATGTTGAAGTTGGTTGAGGAGTTAGCTGCCATTCGAGCCTTTTCCATAGCTGCCGCATCCCTCTGACACACCATCAAAGCATCTTTTAATATTTAAATTCGATTTTATTTCACATTTACAGTATCTTCTTATTCAGATGAGGGTTTTTTTTTCTTTTGCAAGCAGGCTGCTAAGAATAAAAATGTACGGTAAATGCTTTGGGGAGGAAAAAAAAGTGTATTGATTCACCGCCATTGATGGCCATCGAAGTCACCGATTGATTATTTTAACTGGGCTGGCAGTGAATGAGTTAATTTTCATTTTCTTTTTTGTCCCAGTCTGCCATTTATGAAAGTACAATGAGTGTCGTAGCGCCGCCTAGTGGTGAAGCTCCTTAATCGTAACGTCTTCATCTTTTAACCAACAATTTGAGGAAGGACATACACGAACTCACATAATAACATCAAAATGTTGGAGTTGTACCAAAGGTTCTGCACAAAGATAAAACAAATCATTGAATTATGTGCACCCTCATTATTTGGTACTAAGTAACTAGGTTTTAGAAATACGGTCTTAGTCTTGTCATGGTCTTAAAGAGATGTTCGTCTCTTTATAAACAACTCTGGTGGGTGATATTAAATGTTAAACGTGAATGAAACCTGTTCCCGGTCCTGCCTGCGTCGCTGCGAGACCATTGCGGACCCTGCAGACTGCGGTGCTTTCATATCAGCCCTTAGCAGGATTGGGACTGTGAAATCTTCACTTTTCCAACTGCTGCAGCTAGCCTGTGGGTTGGTGTGCTTTTTGTCATCACCGAATGACACGCGAAGAGAATTGCGCAGCGCTGTAAATATTGACTTATTTTTCATTTTGCTCACCAAAGAAGACAATGATTGTGCAGCCTGTTGGAATGGCATCATAGTTTATCAAAGGCTGAGCCCAATAAACACTCCTAACAGATTTAGATGGCGGATCCCATTGCAGCAGAAATGCAGTTTAACATATGTCACATGTGGTTAAAAGAAAACAAAAGCCTGCATATTTCTTCATTGCGCGATCTGTCGTATTTCTCTGGTCTGGAATCACTTGTCATTGAAAAACAAGAGTAATTGTAGATTAGCGTGTGACTTCACGGTGATTACTTTTGAACGTAGAGACATTTGAACGCCCCGTGCATATCTTGTTGAACTGGATAGTTGAGTGGCAGCGGGTAAAAAAAAGAAAAATTATAAAAAAAAAATACTAAATTAAAAAAAAACACGTCTCCACCTAAATGAAAATTTATGTCACGCCATTATGACATCTCGCGTCCACTTTTGTTCGCACAAAACCACACTTATTTAATACGCTGCATTCAAATGGCTAATCTCCTTGAGACTAGTGCGATTCTATGATATCGCAGCACTGCCCTCAGGTGGCCAATGTTTTGCATTACACCAGGGGACTGCAGGATTCAGAATATATGTGGCCTCCCGACTCGTGACGATAATTTTTGGAGCTCATGTCATTCAACCTATGGAAAGACGGGGGGGCGGGGGGGGGGGTAATTATTACGTCGTGGTCATGAAGTACTCAATTGTGTCAATAAATATCTTAATTTGTAACCAGTAGATTTCTAACTACAATTCGAATATCAGTAGTCAATCGTAGGGTGAGGAACCCTATTCGGTCCAAAGAAACTGACTGTACAGGCACGTCAGGAGTCGATCACATGGAGCCCCTTTTGAACATAAGTAGAATTGTACAGTGCATGCATCATTTGAACATTTTGTTGATGTTACAAGCCTACATTCATAAATATGTTCGAATGTTTTGTCATTTCACAAAAAAAATGTATACTGCGTCATTTGTACAGTGTTGTTGGGATTCTGATAATTTCGTACCACTGTCTGTTTCTAAAAAATGACACGCTTGAAAACATAATGTCCCTGACTTGCTTTCCAGCGTGTGTGCAGACATGACAGTAGCGTGGTACTCAAGAACACTGTGAAGGTGACACCTCTCTGACATTCAGTAACCTAATGCTGTCAAATGTCGTAAGCAAACACACGACACTTACAGTAACAACTTTACTGATAACTGGATTACTGAACTGTGTAGACTCGCTGGATAGAAAATGGATTTCAACTAAAACTAGACTGTAAATTTCCCCAGTGTGGGACAAATAAAGGATATCTTAATCTTAAATGGCCATATTAAAAAAAGCATGGCACATGCGTATAACAAATGACCATTTAAAAAAAAGCATGCAACAAAAAGCATGCCTGTGTTAATAAATGAGACAATGTATTGTACAGCAGGGGAACCGTATCTGGTCTATTGACGAATAGTAGAAAATAGATGCGAACATAGATGCTAACTTGAGCATCGCGTTGTATGTTGATGGAGCCACCATGTTGGATGTGGAAAAGTGGAGCGTCTCATCTCTCGTTCCTGCTTGTAGGGGGTACCATTGCGTTTGTAAATTTTAGTTAGAGAAGGGTATTTTATCTATTTATTTCGTTCCTTTTGGGATAACATTAGTATTTTAATTGTTGTTTTTTTTTTTTTGTTTCGTGAGCAGCACTTTGTAACGACTAAAATGCCACATCCAGTATGGCAAACGCGCTGACGTACGGCACCAACGATTCATTAGCTCAATGAGGCATCTGGTTTAATCGTCTCCAGGAGACATCCAGTGTAGGAGGACGTACGTCTGAAGTATTGTGTGTGACGTCACGTGCACTTCTCGCGTCGTATCGCGAGTTATCGCCTGGATAAATCCGCAACGCGGCTTTCCAATCGGCCATTTCGTCGGTGCAGGCCACAGCCGTAAAGGGCAACGGGGGAAATCCGCATTATACTGGTTATCTGAAAGGCACATCAAGAACATCGCACCATGAGTGAGGCAGCAATCTCTTTCGCCAAGGACTTTTTGGCTGGTGGCATCTCCGCCGCCATCTCCAAAACAGCCGTCGCACCCATCGAGAGAGTCAAACTTCTCCTTCAGGTAAAAAACGTCTTCCGGAAAAAAAGCAGTTTTGTGACGCTCGCTCGTTAGCTTCCTAGCTTGTGCCAATTTGCTAAATGCGGCAGAGAGCGTTTTTCGCTAATATAGGGTTGACAACCCGGACTTTGTCTCGAGTAAAGCACTTTCCCGTCGGTGTGGTGTGTTTTAAGTGCCTGGATGGCGAGAGTTGCGGTTAAAGGATGTAAGGTCATCACGGGATTGGGAATGACCTACACGAGCCGGCTGCTAATGCTAGCCTCCCTCCGCGTTAACCTTAGCCGGTGTTGCTAACAAAGGACAAACACTCTCAAGCGGCATCGGGACACCATGTACGAACGTCCATATAACGAAATGACTCATTAAACTCACGATATTTGGTTGACCCTCGCGTTGGTGGGACATTTGTGCATTTTATAGTCTATTGTATTTCAACCGACAGCCTACCGTAAGCTAACGTGGAAGGCGTCTTGTGGGATGTCTTATAGTTCTCTGTCTGTTACTCTTACGACCGGGTGGACAAGTTTTACCTCATTTTATTTACCCATTTTTGTTTTCTCGAGCCACTATCAAACATTTTCGCTCATTAGTGTATATTGAGCCTCATACAGTTTACCCTTATCTGCACTTTAAATTCCAGCCGCATGCCGCCTTAATTTGCCATCGAGCTGATAGCGGCGAGTCATTATTTGAAAAGTGTTAAACATTGCGATTTAATGGGTACCAAGGTCACAACCTTGTCGTGTCACGTTCTTCTTGCTTAATTGGCTTTACTCTTACATAACTGATTTCTTTTTTTCCCTCCATCCTCATTCCAGGTGCAACATGCCAGCAAGCAGATCACAGCAGATAAGCAGTATAAGGGAATAGTCGACTGTGTCGTCCGTATCCCCAAGGAGCAGGGCTTCCTCTCCTTTTGGAGAGGTAACCTTGCCAATGTCATCAGGTATTTCCCCACCCAGGCCCTCAACTTCGCCTTCAAGGACAAGTACAAGAAGATCTTTCTGGATGGCGTGGACAAGCGCGCTCAGTTCTGGAGGTACTTTGCCGGCAACCTGGCGTCGGGCGGTGCCGCCGGAGCCACTTCCCTGTGCTTCGTGTACCCCCTCGACTTCGCCCGTACCCGTCTGGCCGCAGACGTCGGAAAGGCCGGCGCCGAGAGGGAGTTCAATGGTCTGGGCGACTGCCTGGTCAAGATCTTTAGGTCCGACGGCCTGCGGGGCTTGTATCAGGGTTTCAACGTGTCCGTGCAGGGGATCATCATCTACAGGGCTGCATACTTTGGCATCTACGACACTGCTAAGGGTAGGCACTACTTTGTCACCCCTCCCCCCCCCTTTTTTTTTTTTTAAAGCTCCGTGATTTACGTGTGTGTTATTTACAGGTATGTTGCCTGACCCCAAGAACACTCACATCCTGGTGAGCTGGATGATCGCCCAGTCTGTGACGGCTGTCGCCGGCCTGACCTCCTACCCCTTCGACACTGTCCGTAGACGTATGATGATGCAGTCTGGACGCAAAGGAGGTGAGCCAATGAAGATTCAGTGTGTTTTAAAGTTGATCCCACGTGGCCCGACTTAACGTTTCCTTCTCGTGTCTCCCTCAGCCGACATCATGTACAGTGGCACCATCGACTGCTGGCGTAAGATCGCCCGCGACGAGGGCGGCAAGGCCTTCTTCAAAGGCGCGTGGTCCAACGTGCTGCGAGGCATGGGTGGCGCTTTTGTGCTGGTGTTGTACGATGAGCTGAAGAAGGTCCTCTAAAAAAATGTCACCTTGTCACCTCACTGTCCAATTTGGCTAAATGTAATAACTTTCCATTTCTTATGGACTCAGCATTCTGCCTTATTTATGGGAACAAAACTAGTGTCCTCTCCACTTAGTTATGGGTAATGGCTGTGCGTTGTGCATCTTGATTTTAAACGTTCCACACCACCCTCTTTACCAGTGTCATTCCTTCAACAAGTATGATACCTCCTGTTGTTCACTAGGTTTGTGTGGTCCCAAATTGAATAAATCCATTCTGGGGAACAAACTACAAATATGGATGTCCACTCTCTTCCTCCACCGTCATAGCATGAGTGCACTGGATCATGAAAAAGTGGATTACACACA